AACAGTTTGATTCCTCATCTCACACCTCTTTCTCATGAATTACTTGCCCTAAAAAAAAGAAAAAAAAAAGTACCAAAAAAAGGGCCGCTTCTAACCGAGAAGGCCCTTGACCAATGTTATGACGTTCTTCAATGGAGGAATGATGTTCAGTCCTCTGTCCAAAGATAAGGAATTTTTTATATATTTCTTTAAAATAGGAGGATGACAATGACTCCTTTTATAAAATTGGAGGTTCTGTAGTTACATTAACCCATTTAATAACTGCAACCAAACAAACCTTGTCCGCCCGCCGCCCGTTCCCTCTCCTCACCTGCACACACATTATTTATGTAAGAAGAATCAGAAATGTAGTCGGAATCGGGAGAAGGGTGGGATCTTACCTCTGATTTCCATAGACGCGGCGGATGAGAGAGCGATGAGGGTGTGTAGGGACAGTTATTGATCGGCAAAGCGTCGTATCGGAGATAGATTTTGGGAAAGACGGGAATTGTAGGTAGGGAAAAGGTTCAATGGGGAAGAGGACCTTGACGATTCGTGGGAAGCCTCGGAAGCCTGTAAAGGCTCCGTCGCCTACTCTGCCACAGCCTAGCGGTGTAGCTTCCCCCTCGTCCCTGATTCTGACTGGGAATGGGATCACGGGAGCGGTGAAAGGGAAGAAGAAGGCAGTAGGAGCAAGGCTGTGGATGAGGTTCGACAGGGATGGGAAGTCGGAAGTCGTGGAATTGGATAAGAGCACGATAATCAGACGCGCCGGAATTCCTGCTAGGGATTTGAGGATTCTGGGTCCCTTGTTCTCTCAATCCTCTAATATTCTTGGTAGGTTTGATTTACTTCTATTGTTGTTGTTTGGATTTGTATGTTTTCCATATCTGTATTTTTTTGGATCCCAAAAGTTGAATTCTTTTGAAAATGGCTCTGAGATCACGCTTCACAGTAAATAACTGTGATGGTGCCAAACACAATCACATAAGTACTTTGGTATTATACAATCCTATTAGTAGATTGATGTATCGATCAGGAATTTCACTATTGTTTGTACCTGGATAATGCAAATATATAGTGCTGTTTAATCTTGTGGGTGGTGCAATATGTTGTTTGCAACTTCTGGTTATGGGTGTTTATTTTTGTAGTCCCTTAGACGAAATCTGTAACCTGTTTTGAGCTTGTTTGACAGAGAGAATAAAGTAGGGAAGGTGTTATTGATTGATCATTTTCTCATATTCTAATGTTTTACCTATGTTTTCTGTGTTTAATCTTTGACAGCCAGGGAAAAGGCCATGGTTGTCAATTTAGAGTTTATAAAGGCTATAGTTACGGCTGAAGAAGTCATGATACTGGATCCTTTGTGCCAGGAGGTTCTTCCGTTTGTGGATCAATTAAGACAGCAACTGCATCATAAAAGTGAATCTAGGACCCATGAAGCAGACACCGCAGACGTAAATGAAAATGAATTGCAAGTCTCAACCCGTGGGCACTGGTTACCTACGCCAGAAACTGTTGAGGGCTTGCAGTGTGAGCTTCCTTTTGAGTTTCAGGTTCTGGAGATAGCATTGGAAGTTGTCTGTACATTTCTGGACTCTCGTGTTGCAGATCTTGAGAGAATTGCTTATCCTGTGCTTGATGAGCTGGCCAGGAACGTTAGCACTAAGAATCTTGAACATGTGCGGAGTCTTAAGAGCAATCTAACCCACCTACTTGCACGTGTACAAAAGGTCTGTTTGACATATCTTGTTTCTTTTCTTCTATTTATTAGCTATTGTACTTAGAGATATCTGTTATCTGGTTTTGTCATACCTATGTAGTACTTTTTTTCTTGTCACCTTCCAGTAAAGTTGCTGGATAAGGAATCAAAAGAAGTGGTGATTATGGGATAGTTCTGACACATAACCTGATTAATAGAACTGCGTGTTTGGTCATATGGTGGATTAGGTTTGAATAATCAGGGGGTTTATACTTCTTTAGAGAATTGGATTTGCAGTTAATGGGTCAACTTTACTGAGATTGTAGAGCAGAATAGCAGCTGAAAGTAAACGAGATTGCTGCTGAGTAGAGAGTGATTCAAGGCTGATATGGGGTTGGAAGTACCTGTGACCCATGTATCAAGAAAGCAATTAACTTGTAAAGTTGTAAATTAAAAAGCCCTCTATTCTTTAGCCATTGCTATCTGATACTTTAAGCACAACAGGTTGCACAAGCTAAACCTGTCCTTCATTCTTTTACCAGTGAAGAATTTAGTCCGCTAACCAAATCACCTATAACAAAGCCATATTATGGGAAAGCTAATAGAAGTTTCAGAAGGTAAGAACTCTATATCAATCAGCGCAAGTTGGACTGTACACATCAATCAGAGGGCTGATTTTGGCATTTTGGGATAAATCCAGACACGCAAAAATTGATTCAGAGAAGTCTGCCTATTTGGTCATATGGTTGGTTAGATTTGAATAATTAGGTGGTTTACAGTTTTATACATTTAGACAAATAGATTTACCATTAAATAGTTAAATGGGTGAACTAGGCTTGATCGAATGGAGATTGAAGGACAGAACAACCATTGGAAGTCACAAGATTGCTTGCTGACCATAGAGTGATTCAAGGTTGATAGGGATTTGGAAGAACTAAGGATAAAGCACAGTTAATTTCGAAATTAAAAAGTCTTTTTTCTATCTGTTGCTGTCTGATAGTTTGATTGATGCATATTGGGTTGCACAAGCTAAACCTGTTCTTCATAGAAGAGTTTAGTCCAATAAGAACCAAATTATGGGAAAGGTAATAGCTATTTCAGGCTGTGAACACTCTATGGTCATCAGCCCACGTTGGAGCATGGCATAGATATCAATTATAGGGCTGATTTCAGCTTTCTGGATTTCTAGAGGAAAAGTATTTTGATAATATTTTCATGAAATCTGGATTGGACCAGCCTGGGTAGTTAAAGTTAAGACAGTTACCTGTCCTAGTTTTTGGTACCAACTACCAAGTCATAGTTAGATATGACCTAGCCCTGGAATAGCTAAACTATTGTTGTATTGTACTTGGGGATATTTTTTGAGACAGCCTCAACAACATCAATCAGACTAAAGTATGTGTCTGTGATACAGGCACGTCTTTGTTTCATACTCTGCCCTGTGTATTGTCAATTTTTTTATCAAGATTCCCCGAGCGAAGATATATACTATTTGACAAATAATTTAGGAATTATTTTACACCCAAAACAAGTATGTGTTTAGTTGCTTACTTAAAGATGTAAATGGTTTGACAATATTAACATTATATGTCAGGTGAGGGATGAAATTGAACAACTACTAGATGACAACGAAGACATGGCAGATTTGTATTTAACAAGAAAGTGGATCCAGAATCAGCAATCTGAGGCTTCGTTGGGAGCAGCAGGCACACATGGCAACAACTCTACTACGCCTCATCTTTTTCGAATTAGTTCCAAAAGGAGTGGAAGTGTTGTGACAAGCAACTTTCCTGATGAAGATGATGTTGAGGACTTGGAGATGTTGCTTGAGGCTTATTTTATGCAGCTAGATGGAACGCGCAACAAGATATTATCTGTGAGTCTTGCCTTCTTAACTTCTATAGAAAAAATAACCAAACATCTCCTAACTTGTTTAAAATTGATTTCCTTTGTGGTAATGGTTTGAATTCAGACACAATTCAAATCATCCATCTGCTCAGAATATAAAACATGCATGTTTCTCATACATTTTTAAACACATCATTTTTTGTACTTATAAACTAACTCGTGCATCTTCTGCATCTTGTAATGTAAATGAGTATTGATTTATCATTTGGATGCACAGGTTCGTGAGTATATTGATGATACAGAAGACTATGTGAACATCCAACTTGACAACCAGCGTAATGAACTCATTCAGCTCCAGTTGATATTGACCATCTTATCATTTGCTATTGCTGCTGAAACCTTGATAGCTGGGTCTTTCGGCATGAACATCCCGTGTCAATTGTATGACAAGGACGGCATCTTTGAAATTTTTGTTGGAAGCATTACTGCATTTTGTGTATTGCTTTTCCTGCTCGTTCTAGGATATGCCAGAGGGAAGAAGCTCATCGGCACCTAAAGCTCTCATCCTGTTATCAACTATGGCTGAAACTTAATAATGGAGACCCACAATTGTTTACCTAGTAAATGGGTTAGTCATTGAATAAGTGGAAAGAAAAAAAAAAAAATCAAAGAGATTAAGTGCTCTTTAAATTATCAAAAATTTGTTTTCCAATCAGGACAGTATAAAAAAAAAAGTGCACTGTAAATTTTGAAATTACAGTTGTATCGTTAAGAATTTTCTCTCTGCCGTTTCTGGAATGAAATACCTTTTGTTAAGTTTTTGTGTTTTTGTGCTCGTTTTTACTCTGGTTTTGGTGTTGGCAACAAATTAACCTTCACAGACCCATGGTATGGTTAAAGAAAGACATGTCAAGAATCATATAAATAACGGTTTTTTTAAGGTATATTTATTGTATTTTTTAATTAATTTATAAAGAAATAATACTTGTCTACTTTTCCTCTTAATTTTTTGAAGGTAAGGCGGATAAGCACTAACCTCATATATATATATATATATATATCCAAAAAATAAATAAGTAATTCAGGAATTTACCGAGTTTGAATTGGAGTTGTTGCCTTACCGTGGGGGTTACGGTTATTCTCACA